CAGAGGATCACGTTCCCTGGAAGGTCCCGGCTCGCACGCAGGGAAGGGAGAAATGAATCTGTGCAGTAGGTGTGGGGACTCGCCCACTGGGGACATGGGAAATCCATGATTTTCCGTCACGGAGGGATCATAGAATCACAGACTGGTTTGGGTGGGAAGGGACCTCAAAGATCATCTAGTTCCAGCCCCCCTGCCATGGGCAGGGACACCCTCCACTACACCAGGTTGCCCAAAGCCTCATCCAACCTGGCCTTGAACACTTCCAGGGATGGGGCAGCCACAGCTTCTCTGGGCAACCTGTGCCAGTGCCTCACCACCCTCAGAGGGAAGAATTTCTTCCTTAGATCTCATCGAAATCTCCCCTCTTTCAGTTTAAAGCCATTGACCCTTGTCCTGTCACTACACGCTCTTGTCCAAAGCCCCTCTCCAGCTTTCCTGCAGCCCCTTTAGGCACTAGGAGGTGCTGGAAAGTCTCCCCGGAACCTTCTCTTCTCCAGGCTGAACAGCCCCAACTCTCTCAGCCTGTCTCCATAGCAGAGGTGCTCCAGCCCTTGGATCATCTTGGTGGCCTCCTCTGGACCCACTCCAACAGCTCCATGTTCTTGTGATGTTGGGGGGCTGAATGATGGCGTGATGACACCACAGTCACCTGGGCAGGGCAGGGGAGCAGGACACACTGGTGGCACCCAGCCTGCTGCCTGTGCACACGACTGCACCCCGTAGTCAGCCCGAGATCCTTGGGGCACATTCGAGGTGATGGGTGGGTTTGAAATCACGACAGAGGGCAGCCGGAGCGTTTCGGCAGGACGTGGGCGGAGGAGGGGATGGCAGAGCCTGGGGGCTGTGTTTCCCGATGGACGTGTTTGGGATGTGGGCGGAGGCGTGGGTGTGTGGTGGCACGAAGGGTGCTCTGGCAGAGGTGCCGGGGGGGCGGTAGGATGCTGTGGCTGGCTTGAGAGGGGCAAGGAAAAAGCCTGTAGCTTTCTGATCATCCCAACAGAGGTGAAAAAAGGGAAATCCCATCCCTCAGGGGGTGAGGAGGCTGCTCTGGGGGTCTGTGCGCCAGGATCAGCATCTCCGCTGTGGGGGGGCACAGACCTGGGTTCTGATGCCGTCGCTTTGCAGGTGAACGGCGTCAACGTGGAGGGCCTGCGGCACTCGGAGGTGGTGTCCCACATCAAGTCCAGGGAGAACGAAGCCCGGCTGCTGGTGGTGGACCCCGAAACAGACGACTACTTCAAGAAGCTGGGGGTGACCCCCACAGAGGAGCACACCAAAGGTGAGACCTCGCACCATTCCCATGACTCACTGTGTCATGGGTGGGATTCTAGAAGTGAGGGAGAGTCCTGTCTCCCTTCTGTCTCATCCCTCGGTAGTTTCCTGAGCACCACCCAGCTACTTATAAATAGTGAGAATTCTTCTTCCTCTAGCCAAAGCCCGATTTGTTATTTTCACACGGTGAGTAATTAACTCAGGAACTGGCTGCTATGAAGCGGCTGGGAAAAAAAAAGGAAGCGGCTGAGACAGAGCGTGGTGGGATTTGGGTGGAGCTGGTGCTCGGGGAGCCGTGAGCTCATGGAGGGATGCTTGGATGGGTCCGTGGTGGGATTTGGATGGAGCTGGTGCCCGGGGAGCCGTGAGCTCGTGGAGGGATGCTCGGATGGGTCCAATCTGTCTTGGTGGGGCTGGGAAGCCTCTCTGATGGCCCCTTC